AGTATAGTTTGAAAAATACAAACCATTATATTCTCTATTTTGAAAAGATGGTTTAATTCTATCCACAACAGATCACAAATGAAGTACTTAAGACTCAGTCAAATCCCACTAAAGGTCTACAGTCCATAGAAGGACACAGGGTGTCTGGGTTTTAAGCCACCTCTCATTTCAATTACCCACAGTGCTCCAATGTAAATTGCTCTGGGCATTGTAGGTCATTTAGAGGGTGGGTGGTCCATAGGTTCCTGTTTCAGACTGTAGTGTTGCTCCCCCCTCCCACCAACAGGTAAGCCCAGCTGGGGACCAAAAATATAGGAAGATGCTCAGCAGAAAGCACTTTGTTGCTGTTCCTCAAAACTAGATTAACATGCCCATCATCAGTTCACAGATGAAATACGGTAGTACTTTACTGAACTATCAAGAAAAAAAAATGATATATGAATTTGGCCTAGGGTTCACTTTCCCCATTACAGCTTATGCATGCTCCTCAAATCTTTAAAAATTGAGCTACTTTGTCACTGTGGAGATATGTCTTGCTATGAGACATATAGGAGGGGACCTAGATTAGTGGTCACCCACATATTTTCATGTAGGAGATCACAGATGCAAACTCTACTACCTCCAGTTAAGAAAGGTCTCCAATGGCTGGTTTGGGAAAGAGCTTTGTGGAGCTGCTGCCCGTCATAGTAGGCAACATTCAGCCAAATAATCAAGTGGCCTAATTCAGTATAAGACACTTCCATAGTCAAACTCTGACACTTGTGCCCTGTTGCCATAGCCAATACTGAGAGGAAAAGGATGACCAGTGTGTTTACTTCAATGTTCCTCCTCCAAATCACTGCGATTGGAGTGCACTGGGAAAACAATCAACTGTGATTAAAAGCTAGACCTGTCCATCAAAATGAAAGAACTTCCATCAAAATGAAAGAACCTCTCTATGGTTACCAGATGTCCCCATTTCCTGGGGACAGTCCCTAAATTTACAAATCTGTCCCCGGACAAAATCTCCCGTGGAATGCCCCCGGAATTCACTGAATGTCCCAGGATTTATATTTTAAGTGTTGTAGATCTATTAGTAGGGAATGAATGTTGTATGATTGGTTCAACGGCACGACACATCATATGGGGACTTCTGGTGAGGCAAAATGGCAGACGCCATGGCAGCGAGCAGCTCCTGAATCCAGCCAGAGCCAGCTGTGCTACCAGGCTGGCTCTGGGCTGCTGAGACTGCTACTGCCGCCGCCACTGCCAAGGGGGAACCAGGGATGCCCGGCACGTCAACCCCAGAAAACCCTGGAGCCAACGCAGGGAGGAGGAGGAGAGAGAAAGAGGAAGGAGAAAAAAGAGGGAAGCCCCAACTTGCCGCACTGCTGCTGCCACCGCCGCTAAGGAGGAGAGGTAGGAGAGCACCAGGAGGGCAAGGACACGTGGCCGAGCCCAGGCCCAACCTGAGCCTACTCCACAGCAGCTAGCGCTCCAAGAGAGCAGGTTGGGGCCCAGAGGAAGGCCGTGTGACAGAGGAGACCACAGAAGAGAAGATATTACTTCTTCTTTTTAATAACTTTTTAAAAATGACTCCCCCCCTCTTTTTAAAAACAAAACCAAAAACATTTCCTAGGATTCTTTGGGGGGGGAATCTGGTAACCTTACTCTACTCCCTTGCTGTCTCTTCTGTGCCACCTCCCTTCTTGAACTCTGGATGTTTCCCCAGTCGGCTTGGTTTTGTTTCTCAGAAAATCAAGGGGAAGGGGCAGCTATGCGTTTGCCTTTATAGGAAAACCAAGGCAACCAAGTTGCTTGGAAGACTGGACATCCCTTGCTCTGCTACAGCATGCCCTGTTAACAGTGCAATCCAACTTGGTGATGTGAAATATCACCCCAAATCAATCCAATTCACCTCCTTTTGGGGGGTACATAGAGAGCCAAAGTACACCGCTAATGTTGCAGTGTCCACAGGTGTATGACTGTAGAATGCTTGCTGAAACATTATTCTGTGTGCCACAGGTCTGTTCTGTGGTCATCACAAAACAATGAACTTAACCTACTTTTAAAACTCTTTCTTAAAGTGACATTGTCTTAGAACATTCAATATGGCATGAGAGCATTCTTAGTGACTTATCTGGCTTACATACTATGGGGCATTCTGAGCCAACTAATCAAGTTCCTTAATTCAAGGTGAACCTCTATTGCTTCCATGACAGTGGAGAACTAATTATTACATTTTTATATTAATGGAGGCAAATGTATTTATATTCACTGATGAAGTTTGGAAGGTTAAAGCCGTCTTAGCTAAGATATATAATGTAGTAAAAATACAACGTAAAAAATTATTAGTGAATTAATTCCATGCAGAATTTTTCACAGCACGTATTGGAAGGTTGGTATTCTTTTACATGCTGAATTAGTATGGATCCATGTACTACACAGACTAATTGATAAATTTCACTTTAATTGACATTGGGACAACAAAGAATCTGTCTTTCTGGACAATGTTGGCAGTCTCATATCCGAATGACCTCCAGAATTAGGTAGAGGTTTTGAAACTATAGTATGAATTTATTACTTTCTTCTGCATTTAGTCAAAAAGACAAGGTGAACAATGAAGTTAAAAGCCATAAATTATACATAATTTCCAAAAGGAAAAAGGGGGCATACTGCTGCCTCACTTCAGTGTGATTCATTATGATTCAGTGTGATTCTGCAAATGTATGCAATGTTTATGACTATAGACTGCTTATAGAATTATATAATGGAATTGTAAACATGAGTTAAATGGTATTATTTGAATTTTGAAGTGTGAAACCAGTTCTTGCCATGTTACATTTTCTTTAGTACAATTTGGACATTTGGATTAAAATAGACTTCACCAATGCCACTTCTAGCAGTGTCCCATGAAGTTTTCCATTTTTGTAATCTTTCAACTGTGATGTCTCCTCTTTCCCCCTTGGATAAATCTGTTTAGCACAGAGGTGCTGAGCTTTCTCCGTCTCGTGCTCATTCTGTCATCCTAAGTAGCTTTCCTAGTGACCAATCATGTGGGGTCTTTTTGGCTCACTTACTGTCAACTGCTCAGTTTTCATAATCAGAGCATGAGGGGAATGTGTCTCGAGTTCTCTGAGAATTGTCTAGTCATGCATGGGCTTCCATTTTAAGGGGATTATAAAGCAGACCTATGAAAATCCCAACAATGCTCTGCTTTGCAAGTCAGAGTAGTAAGTCAGTCCCAGTCTATTAATGTCTACAAATTACCCAGTCTTCTCTGAAATGCCGTCCACAGAAAACATTCTCCTTTATTTAAGAATGCTGCTGCAGTAATGAGGTAACCAGAGTCATCCTTATAGTACAGTGTGCCATCTCCAAAAATACTAATGTGCTGCACCCTACCCATAGGAAATTTAGCCAAGTAACTCACATTAATCATCAGTCTTTTTCAGTAACACTGACTTGGAGTTGAACATTTTAGCCACGTACAAAACACAGCATTGAGAATTGTTTAATTGTGGCCGTTGTGATACATATGATGTAGACTTGAACTTGGATTCAGGACTATTGCATAGACAAGAACAAGCTACGACCTCTGTACGAAGTACTGGCATATAGAAGTGATTCTGAAAGCACTCAGATTTGACCCATAATGTTTGAAACAGCCCATTGATGGAGGGGGGGGAGCTGTCCTTATAAGGACCTGGACAAAATGAAGGTATGCTGTGAAGAAACACAGTGATGCTTCTATGTTATTTCACTCAGATGAAGATGAGTGGGAAGTAATATGGAGTCTCTCCAGAAACTGTGAATATTTGAAGTGTTGTAGGCTTTGTATGCATCAAAGTGTGACCCACTGGACTTTGTATAGCTAGAGATATCAACCTTATAGAATCATAGAACTATAGAGTTGGAAGGGACCATGAGGGTCATCTAGTCCAACCCCCTGCAGTGCAGGAATCTCAACATTAGCATCCATGACAGTTGGTCATCCAACCTCTGCTTAAAAACCTCCAATGAAGGAGAGTACACAACCTCATGAGGGGATCCATTCCACTGTTGAACAGCTCTTAATGTCATAAGGTTCTTCCTGACGTTTAGTCAGAATCTCCTTTCTTGTAACTTGAATCAATTGGTTTGGGTTCTACCCTTCAGAGCAGGAGAAAACAAGCCTGTTCCATCTTCCATGTGACAGCCCTTTAGATATTTGAAGATGGCTAGCATATCTCAGTCTCCTATTTTCCAACCTAAACATCCCCAGCTCCTTCAACCATTCCTCATATGGTTTGCTTCTCAATATCCTTCTTTTGTTCTGTGATGCCCAGAATTGGACACAGTGGCCTGACCAAGACAGAATAAAATGCCAGTTTAATTATCTGTTCTAGGATGTTTCCTAGTATTGATGTCCAGCTTACTGGTTGGTAGTTACCCGGATCTTCTTCCCCTGCCCCTTTTTGAAGATGGGGACTACATTTACCTGCCTCCAGTCTGCAGGGACCTCACCTGTTCTCCAAGAATTTTCAAAGATTATAGACAGAGGGTCTGAGACTCCTTTAACTTCCTTGTGTACTGCTCATCAGGCTCTGGATTTTTGAATGCATGTAAAATATTGAGGTGTTCCCTTACCACCTCTTTACCTATCTTAGGCTGCAGCTCCCTTTCTTGTATCATTTATTGGTTGGGCATTGATTTCCTTTTGGGTGAAAACAGGGACAAAGTAGGTGTTGAGCAGTTCTGCCTTTTCTCTGTCACCCAATAACATTTTTCTGTCTTCTCCACTTAGAGGTCCTACTACTTGTTTATTCTTCTTCTTGCTTCAAACATAGCTGAATAAACCTTTTAAAATTATTTTTAACCAATCCTGCAAGCCTGAGCTCATTCTGAGCTTTAACCCACCTGACATTCACCCTACAACTGTTGGCTACTTATGTATACTCCTCCTTCCTGATTTCCCATTTCTTTCACTTCTTATACAGTGCATGTCTTCTTAAATCACAGCTCATCTGCAAGTTCCTTATGCAGCCACACTGGTTTATTTAGTTGCTTGCCTCCCACTTTACTTTCTTGATGGAATTGTCTGTCTTTGTGCCTTCAATATTTCACCTTTAAGAAACTTCCATCCATCTTGAACTCCTTCTCTTTGCGTATTTCTGACCGTGGGATCTCAACCAGTAGTTCCTTAAGCTTTCTGAAGTTGGCATTCTTAAAGCCCAGAGTGCATCTCCGGCTACATTCAGCTTTCCCTTGCCTCTGTATCTTGAAATCCATAAGGACACAATCACTTTCTCCTGTTTCCCAGTACCTCCACTTCATCAATCAATTCTTCCTTGTTGGTGAGGACTAGGTCCCAGTTTGGTCCCGTGTTGCTTCTTCCGCCTTCTGGCAAAGGAAATAGGCATAATTAAATAGGCAATGTAAAAGAAGTATTTTCTAATAAAGTATGGTTTCTTGATACACCTGGTGATGTACTTTGCTTGGTGGGATAGTAGGGGGAAATGGAAAAGAAGTTTATGGAGTTGGAAACAAAGCAACATCCAGTACCGAATTTCTTCTACGCCCCAACAACAAACCTGTTCCAGGCACATCTGAAATCAACTAAACATCTCCTTGTTTACAAATCTGAAATTACATAATTAGGTTTTGAGTTCAGAAACATTTGATTTTGAGTGGCTGCTTACATTCCATTGCCTTCAATAGAGCTTAATTAAATGCTTGATTGATTTCTTCTAAAATTAAGCTGTCCTGAATAAGGGTTGCTTACACCGTTGGAACATGACGACAAGAGAGATTTTCCCCAGTCTAGTGCTTGCATTACATCACCCATCATCCCTGACCATTCACATTGCTAACTGGGGCTTTAATCGAAAATGTCTGGAGGGCACAACATTGGAGAATGATGTAGAAATCTACATGCAGACTTTTAGAGGCCTTGTAATACGATATGTTTTTTAAACAAATGCACAAAAATGTAGACAATGAAATCTAAAATAAAATATTTATAGCAGAATATTTAGAAATGTGTTATAGATAAAATATCTGCACATTTAATGTCTACACTGGTGTCATTAACCTGTTGATCAGTGGGGACTCAAATATTTTCAGTTTTCTGCACATTATTAACCTCAGGGTTTTACATCTTTGTTTAATCCAAATACATAAAAAGCTCATAAAGTCCAATAAATAAAACTAGAAACCTCAATTTCCAATTATTCTTCAGCCTTTTGAAGCCATATTGGTCAGACGTTCTGCAGTAAATGTTAAACAGTTGGCCTTCACACACTGTCCTTTCGGTTAACACTGGGCAGCTGCCTTTTATTGGAAAGGTTATTTGCATTTTAATATATCAGAATAAAATCATTTCAACTTACATCAAAACAGCTATTTTCCAAAGGTCTTTTCTTTGGAAAATAAATGCTCCTCTAATAAGATGTATTAAGAGAAAATTTCAACATTAACTTTGCTTTCATTCTGAACAAACTTTGATAGAGAAATATATTGTTAAATTAATGGGATTTTGGATTTCCTTTTGGAAAGCAAGCTAACTGTTCATATGTATGTGTATTCCTTATGTGGAAGAGGTAGTGAAAGACGTGTAGTGAATGTTTGGTTGCTCCTCATTAAAGCGTTTTGATAGATCTATCCTCCGTTAATTTGTGTAACCTAGAACACAATTATTCATCTCATCATATGAAAATTGAGTCAGCAGGCCTTGTCTGGCTATAGCATAGTTTCTCAAATTGTGGAAAGTGCCCTAAAGGTAGTTGACAATTGTGGGGTATAAGACATGTTGGAATCACACACTCTAACCAAGACTTAGCTTACATTTCTCATTATTATTATTATCTGACAAATATTTGAAAATGTTCATCATGGAGCTCCTCCTGAACAGTTGGATAATTTAATTCCTTCCCTGGAGAATATTTCATGAAATAGCCACTCCTGTTTCTCCATCCATGAATGTTGGATGCATCTGTGGGTTCAGTTTTAATATTGTTTATTATTTTAAGATTGTTAAAGGAAGCAGTGGACTAAGGTCCCTGTGTCTTCTAGTTCTCCTTAGTGTCCCGCTCGTTGAGAACATGAGGCTCATAGGAGAAGCATAAACCTGTGTAGGCAAGGCAAGGCAAAGCAAAGCAGAGAGCAAACAAGAACAGGACCATGGACAGCTCCAGTGCTGCCTTGCTAACTGAAGCACCTTTTCCCTAAGTCATCTGCTGGAAGGTTACCTCTGTAGGGAACTATAGCCAAGTGAGGAATGTGGTAGAGAAGATGATTGGTATCAAAAGCCTTGGTGAGATCAATAAGAAGGAGAAAGATTACACTCTTCTAGCCCCTTTCTTGATAGTGGTCATCAATCAGGGTGCCCAAGGCCAGTTCTGCCCCAAAGCTGCACCTGAATCCATACTGGAATGGGTCCAAATAATCAGTATTGTCCAAGAGTGATGGTATCTTCCCTGACCATTGGCAAAACTAGCTGGAGTCCAAGAGAATCTGGAGGGGCAGATTGTGAAATTGCCTATTATAGGAAAGCAAGTAATTTAATACTTTACAACGTCATACTTTGTAATTCAACTGAAACAGCAAGTATGAATTTGTTGACTCTGCCAATAGGAACTCTACTGCTTTTACTGTTTTGAAAGCAGTGAAATGGAAACAATTTTAATAATGCCAAAGTCAACATGAAAACCTAAAACATTATCATCACTGAATCATAATGCAGGTAGGTAATTTTGCTTTACTTTTGTTTGATATTTACACTGTACTGTCCAACCAATTTAAAAGTGTGCTGAAGGTGGACCATAAGTGTCATCAGCCCTGATCCAGGCAGCATGAGGTCAATGAGATTGCATTATATTTGTAGGCTGTGAACTATTGGCTAATATATCCTCTATCATTGTGATGAATCTAGTTGCTTTCCACTGGCCCTTATGAATTTCCTTCCTGTACCACCTGCACATATGGTACCATAACTTTTATGGACTATTTATTCCACATAAAACCATATTCCCTTGTGGGCAGCAATTTTGGGGCCATATGTCAGTGGTGGACACACCCAGAGGCAAAAGATGAGTGGGATCAGAGACAAAACTAGGCAGAGCAATGAGTGTGTCTCCTTTGTACAGTAGGCTACATATAACACACACACAGACACACACACCTCCACCCTCTACTCAAGGAAGTAGGAAGAATTTTCACAGTTCAATGACACATCCCAACTAGGAAAAAGCACTGAAGGAGAGCATATTGCTGGATTTATGAAGGACATGGTCTGGAGAATTCTTGAAGGCCGGATGAAGAAGCATCAAGGGCTATATTATGAAGCTTCTTGCATTTGCTAGATGAGGAATTGGCTAATATTTAAAAAAATACAGATTTATTGGATTTAGAAGGACATGATAATAGATTTGGATAGCATGCGTATTTATTGTATCAGAAGGCAAAAGTACATAAAAGTTTCCATATAATAAGAAATGTGATTTTTAAAGTGTGGGGAAAATATAAAGGCTTGTTAGAACAAAAAACACCATGGTGGCTTCCCCACTGGAAGCAATATCCTTGAAAAAATTAAATATGAATCCTGACTGGGCAACATACAGAGAACTGTTAGCAGAAAAGGATAACCAATTAAATTGAAGAAATTTCAAGAAATAAGAGGGTTAAAATAAGAGGAAAGGTAACAATCTGGTTACAATATTTCCAGTTGAATGATACAGTATATTCAAAGAGGATAAAAAGGAAGGATTTAATTATGAAATTTCAAATTTCAAGAGAAAAATAATAGAAAATGACAATAAATTGTTATCAAAAATGTACAATATATTGTTGGAATGGGAAACTAAGGATGAAGAGGTCAAGTGTGTTATGACAAAGTGGGCAATAGATGTGGGAGATAATATGATGGTAGACTGGGAATGATTATGGAAGGATGATATAAAATTTACAGCGTGTACATTATTTAAAGGGAATTATATGAAAATGATGTATAGGTGGTATTTAACACCAGTTAAATTAGCAAAAATGTATAAAACAAGGGGAAATAAGTGTTGGAAATGTAAAGAAGTGGAAGGTATGTTTTATCACATGTGGTGCCAATGTAAGGTTATATATATATAAAAGAGAAATGCTATATAACGAATTGGAAAAAAAAATGTTTAAAATAACCTTTGTTAAACAACCAGAATCTTTCTTATTAGGAATTAGAAGAACTGATCTACCAAAAGAATACAAAACTCTGCTTGTGTATGCAACAACGGCTGTGCAAATATTGCTAGCCCAGCACTGGAAAGGAGAAGTCCCTACTAAAGAAGATTGGCAAAATAAACTAATGGAATATGCTGAAATGGCTAAATTAACTGGGAAACTTAGAAATCAAGACAATAACAAATATAAAAAAGAGTGGGAAATGTTTATTGCATATATACAAAAGCAATGTAAGGAAGTTAATATATTAGCAGGAATTTTTTAAAAAACAACAACAATACTTGAAATGTTATGGAGAATGTTTAAATAAGGAAGCAATTAGAGATAAAGATTTTTTGTTGACGTGCACAAATGAGAAGAACACAAAGGAACCAGGGGAGGGAGTGGAGGGAAGTCAGGGGATTCGATGAATCCCAAAATATGGATTAATACTAAGAGTGAATATAGATGTTTTAATTGTTTTATTTTGTGTATTTCCCCCTTTTCTTCTTTCTCTCTCTTTTTCTTTTTCTTTTTCAATGTCATGATCGTTTATTGAGAAAATTGATAAAAAAAGATTTATGTTTTTTTTAAAAAGAGAAACATCAACGGCCTGAAGTTTCCCCACTCCTGGTTTATATAGTGAGAGAATTAAGACAAAATATCATTAAATTCATGCTCCCAGGCATAAAAGAACAGCCAACAAAGGTCTCTTTCCTGTGACTAATTCTTGGAACATCCTACTCAGCTTCACTAGCAGCTGGCTGATATTGTCAAATGTCACATAGATGGGCAGGTTGTCAGTGCATCTGGAACTGCAACGTGTGGGAGATGTAGCTGCCTTACATCTGACAACCATATTTGTTTTACTTCCTTGCCCTATTTCAGATATCTGGCACCAGACAGGTTAGGGAGCAATTTAGACATCAATTATACTGAATCATCTCACAGAGATTGGAATCAGTGGTGCAAGTGGTTATCTTGAAAATGCTTCTGTAATAAGTGATAAATATGCAATCTGTTTTCTTACAGCCTAAAGAAGGCATTGCCTGCTGATTCTTTCAAGAACTCTGTTGACAATTCAAAAGTGTTCTATATGTGAAAATCACCTTTGTCTTTTTTTTGAAAACATGTGTTTTAGTTAAGATACTTTCTTTTTTCCCGGGACAATTTAATTTGTTCATTTGCATGGGAAGGACCAAAGAGAAAATGTGCCAATAACTGTACTAGGAAGAATTTTTGAGAATACCAGGGGTAGAGGGCGACTAGGGGTTGGATTGCTATATTTATTATATAATATTAAGTATAGTATTAAATGGGATGCGGGTGGCGCTGTGGGTAAAACCTCAGTGCCTAGGACTTGCCGATCGTATGGTCGGCAGTTCGAATCCCCACGGCGGGGTGAGCTCCCATCATTCGGTCCCAGCTCCTGCCCACCTAGCAGTTCGAAAGCACCCCTAAGTGCAAGTAGATAAATAGGTACCGCTTTATAGCGGGAAGGTAAATGGCGTTTCTGTGTGCTGCGCTGGTGCTGGCTCGCCAGAGCAGCTTCGTCACGCTGGCCACGTGACCCGGAAGTGTCTCCAGACAGCGCTGGCCCCTGGCCTCTTAAGCGAGATGGGTGCGCAACCCCAGAGTCGGTCACGACTGGCCCATATGGGCAGGGGTACCTTTACCTTTACCTTTTTATAGTATTAAATACTATATTTCATATATAGATATATATAGATGATGTCATTGAAAGTAGCCTTCCACTCCTCCCTTTTTAAACACAGTTTAAAAGAGTATTGACCGTATATACTTTCCATGATACTGTAGGGCACAGGAACAACAAAGTAAAGCACCAGGAGGGGGTTCTAAAGTGCCTGCTGTTGCCCACTGTTAATGCGCAGGAATGCCTGGAACAAAATTGACAAGTGATTAAATTACCAGAAGTAATGTTAACTCCAATGTGTGTGGAAGAAAATCTGAATTATTGCCTATTACTTTTTTTCATCACTTTGTCTGAGACAAGATATCTCAAAGCACCTTACAAATCTATAGAAGGTAGAACAACCTGATAATCGAAACCAAATACTCTAGGGAAAATGCAATGAAACCAAATTCCTAAAAGTGCCAATCCAAGAATAACTGTAAAAAGAATTAATACTAACCAATCACAAAAGTAGGCAGAAAGCATACCATAGCATGGACAAATGAGATGCCTTAACCTGGCACCTAGAAGTTGGCAACCATTGTTTCAGGTGTGTTTCCCTAGGGAAATCAATCCACAAATGGGGGAACCACCACTGGGAAAGTTTGTTTTCAGATTGCCACCCTCTGCAACCTCCCTCAGAGGAGGCACGTGGAGAAGGGCCTCTGATGATAATCACCAGGTCCAGGAGGCTTTGGAGGGAAGACTGATTCGTCGGTAGTGTTTTGACTTCCTTCCACAGCATTCTCTTCCTGTGCCAGATTACCATGGAAACAATGCTAGCATTAGCATTATTTCCATGGTGAGCTGGCACAGGAAGATGAACATAGTGGAAGGAAGTCGGAACACAGCCAAGACATGAAAGACTCACTGGCCACTTGTAGCTGGCAAAACTTCTTTTAAACTTTTCATTTAAGGAAAGAAAAAACTAATCTAGGCCTCCTTGTCTTTAGGGTAAGATAAAGATGCCCCCCCCCCCCAAAAAAAAACACACACACACCCCTCTTAGAAATTATCTTGCCCTAAGAAAAACAAATAGAATGATTCTGTGAAAAGGGAGAGGGAACTTGGCTTTTGTCTCATTTGATGTTTCATTTCTTTTGCTAGTCTACTCTTTTCTGCGATGCCTGATTGATTTCTTGTTATTATTGCTATTGCCCCTGAACTATTAACTAGTCCCTTTTTAAACCACGGTATCATTTTGTGGTACTCTTATTATCTCTTCCAGTTGTATTGGAAGAGATTTGGGATGAGAAATTGATCTTTAGCTGTAAACTAATAAATCTCCCCAGGTATAGGTCAATATCATAATAATAGGATAGTTACCATCACATTTGGCTCACTGTCTGCTGTGGCAAAATTACGTAACTTATGTAATGGGAAGGGTTTGGATCAAGCAGTTCCAAGGCTTCCCTCGGTCTGCCTCTGAACCGCCCCCCCCCTTCTTCTTCTACTGCCATCAGAAGGATATTGATGCTGGGTGAGCTTTCCACCACCAGGGGCAGATGTCCTTTTGCAGGTGAAGATAGAGCCCCTGAACTGCCCTTCCAGATTGCTTAGGATTGCTCCCTTAATTGCTGCCATTTGTTTTATCATGTAAAGTTGTTTTATGTCATATTTCCCCCCTGTTTCATTTCCTGAGTTTTGCTTTCAGTTCTTAAGAAGAAAATGTGTTCTGATCATTCGAATAAGTATCATGGGCATGTTTTCTCTGCAAAAGGACATATGTTGTGTCACTTTCAAATGCTATAATAGTTGTGTTTTTAATTCAAAGATAAAATGCATGAGTAGTGCACTAACAACATCAAATCACTTAAGAGGGGTTACATTAGTAAGCTGTCTATGCCCTACTGGAGTGGCTGTGGTGGGCACTCAGCCAAATGCATTTGATGTCAAAGGCAAAGCACACCCTACTGTGCCTGATTGCTGTCATCATATCCTTCATACCTACCCTGCTGTTTATTCTAGAGTGACCAGTCTCATTTCAAACAAATTGGGCAGGGGCTTCTGTCACATTTCTCCTGATTCTGCTCTTTGTGATATCACTTGCATTTTCTCTGGCTATTCACCAAACATTTCCTTTTGCATTGCCTAAAACAGGTCAGCTGAACAGGTGGTCACAGTCTTGCTCTTAAAGCAGGCCCTTTTTAGAAATTATGCCCATTTTTCCCCGTTTTGCTGTTCTGTAGCTCTGCCATGTTACAAAATCAAGGCAAATAGGAACCACTGCATTATGTCAAGTCTTGCAGCTACATGTCTTGGCATTTTTGCAAATGGCCATTCTGCCTTTCCAGATATATATTATCTTGTATACACCTTACAAACACTTTCATTGTGTGGTGCCAAGTGATTTTCTATTTGGTTAGTGTACATTGTTCAAAGCATTGTGCAGGTATTTGATAAATGGTATATAGTAAAACAACATAATCAGTACTGTCTTATAAAATTATTTCTGCTTCTGCTTCTGGAGAAGGACAGAATACAAACTTAAAAGACAGCTAGAAGAAGTATCCACCCAATTTGGCATTGTAATTACTAACGTTTTATTAAACAACTTTTATGGACAGGAATATAAACTAGAAATTTCAAACCACTTTTTATAGGGAAATTCTGGTTGATATGTCCTTGCCATACCCCCTCATATATGGAAGTGTGTTTCATTGATGTTTAGAATTAGGGACCAAATGATTTTTCAGTGTTTTCGCTGTAATACTGTTTTTTATAGAGTTATAGAATTGTGGAGTTGTAAGGAATCCCGTGGATTATCTAGTCCACCTTTTCTCAACCTTGGGGCCCCAGATGTTCTTGAACTACAACTCCCATAATCCCTGACCACTGGTCATGCTGGCTAGGAATGATGGGATTTGTAGCCCAAAAACATCTGGGGACCCAAGGTTGAGAAAGGCTGATCTAGTCCAACGCCCTGCAGTGCAGGATTCTCATCTTGATCATGCATGATAGATGGCCGTTCAACCTCTTCTTACAAACCTCCAAGGAAGGAGAGTCTACCACATCCCAAGGGAGTCCATTCCACTGTCAAAACAGCTCTTGCTGTCAGAAAGTTCTTCCTGATGTTTAGCTGGAATATTCTCTGTTGTAACTTGAAGTCATTGGTTTGGGTCCTAGTCTCCAAAGCAGAATAAAAGAAGCTTGCTTCATGTGACAGCCATGTGACATCCATGGGATGTCCTTCCCTCTCACAGGCGCAGCCCATGCCATAACGTCATCAATGTGCTCATTTTTATAATTTTGATCACTTTTTATCTTTGGCCAATATGTACAATCAGCATTCCTCGCCCCCAGATTGCTATTAGTATGAAGTGGGTACCATATCTATACAGGTGTATGTGCATGGGGCTCCCTCCATGGGGACAGGAACTCTGACTGACTGGGTTCTTGGCACCCTATTCTAGCCAGCACAATTTTTGGAAGCTCCTTCATATGCTAACATGAGCTGTACTGTGATTCAGATTTCCAAGTTATGGGGTTACCATAAGACTGCTATAATTATTGTTGTTTTGTTGTTTAGCCATTTAGTCATGTCTGACTCTTCATGACCCCATGGGCCAGAGCATGCCAGGCACTCCTGTCTTCCACTGCCTCCCACAGCTTGGTCAAACTCATGTTGGTAGCTTCGAGAACACTGTCCAACCATCTCATAGAATCATAGAATCATAGGGTTGGAAGAGACCACAAGGGCCATCAAGTCCAACCCCCTGCCAAGCAGGAAACACCATCAGAGCACTCCTGACATATGGTTGTCAAGCCTCTGCTTAAAGACCTCCAAAGAAGGAGACTCCACCACACTCCTTGGCAGCAAATTCCACTGTCGAACAGCTCTTACTGTCAGGAAGTTCTTCCTAATGTTTAGGTGGAATCTTCTTTCTTGTAGTTTGGATCCATTGCTCCGTGTCCGCTTCTCTGGAGCAGCAGAAAACAACCTTTCTCCCTCCTCTATGTGCCATCCTTTTATATATTTGAACATGGCTATCATATCACCCCTTAACCTCCTCTTCTCCAGGCTAAACATGCCCAGCTCCCTTAGCCGTTCCTCATAAGGCATCGTTTCCAGGCCTTTGACCATTTTGGTTGCCCTCCTCTGGACACGTTCCAGTTTGTCAGTGTCCTTCTTGAACTGTGGTGCCCAGAACTGGACACAGTACTCCAGGTGAGGTCTGACCAGAGCAGAATACAGTGGCACTATTACTTCCCTTGATCTAGATGCTATACTCCTATTGATGCAGCCCAGAATTGCATTGGCTTTTTAGCTGCCGCGTCACACTGTTGGCTCATGTCAAGTTTGTGGTCAACCAAGACTCCTAGATCCTTTTCACATGTACTGCTCTCAAGCCAGGTGTCACCCATCTTGTATTTGTGCCTCTCATTTTTTTGCCCAAGTGCAATACTTTACATTTCTCCCTGTTAAAATTCATCTTGTTTGTTTTGGCCAAGTTCTCTAATCTGTCAAGGTCATTTTGAAGTGTGATCCTGTCCTCTGGGGTGTTAGCCACCCCTCCCAGTTTGGTGTCATCTGCAAATTTGATCAGGATGACCTTGAGTCCATCATCCAAGTCGTTGATAAAGATGTTGAATAAGACCGGACCCAAGACAGAACCCTGTGGCACCCCACTAGTCACTCTTCTCCAGGATGAAGGAGTTCTCTTGTTCTCTGTCGTCCCCTTCTCCTTGTGCCCTTAATCTTTCCCAACATCAGGTTCTTTTTCAGGGTTTCTTCTCTTCTCATGAGGAGGCCAAATATTGGAGCCTCAGCTTCAGGATCTGTCCATCCAGTAAGCACTCAGGGCTGATTTCCTTAAGAATGGATAGGTTGGATCTTCTTGCAGTCCATGGGACTCTCAAGAGTCTCCTCCAGCACCATAATTCAAAAGCATCAATTCTTCAGCAATTAGCCTTCTTTATGGTCCAGCTATAATTGTAGACCTGACCAAATGTAGTATTGCCAGCTAAGATTTATCTGTGTCTATTGCATTACACATTTATGTAGCTTTTTTAGCTTGAGTTTTGCTATTCAAAGAGAATGTAGTGAGATCTAGGAGCAGCCAGATTAGAAAGGTGATGACTGCCTAAGACTCTTAAGAACAACGGATTCTGGGATGAAACCATTAGCCAATTGACCAACCTTTTGTACTACAGCAGCATGGAAGCATCAAGTGGACAATAATCACCATAATATCCAAACAACACACACACAGCAATTTTTTGGCAATAACAGCGTGTAAAAGTAAATGAAATAAGATAGATGAAACGGGAGCATGAATGCAGCAGTTCCAATTTTGTTAATTAGCATGTAGTCATGCTTCAGTGATGCTGCAATTATGCTACCTCATCCTCCTGTATCCCTATTGTGCAAATGCTGCCATTAGGCTCCTAAGAAGCTTATAAAATGGTGCATGATATGTGCCACCTACAGAGATGTCATTACAATGGTGTCGAATTAACAGTATGCTTTTTCAAATTTATAATTATTTGCCTCTGCAGAAGAGCTATTTAGGAACCTATTACTAGTCTTGTGGAAGTTAACTTAATAATTTCCTTTGTATTACTTTAAACACCTGCCACTGAGATTCATATTATGAAATGCATCTCGTTATAACATTTTATTGTAAGAAACATAGCGTCTATTTGAGATGCAGTAATGCAACTTTTAACGGAGCGTCTGATTAAACCAATGATACTTACTTCATTCCTTCACCAA